GTGTGTATACTGTATACACACACACACACACGTGGATTAAAATTGTTGGTACCCTCTGTTAATGACCAAAAGGACGACTGAAATAATTTGAAACTGACAAAATAATTGACTATAATTTAACCAATAAAAATCAAAAATTGATTTTGAATTTGGATAAAAATGTTAATACCTGTAGAAAAGGGACGTGTTAAACTATGGTGTGTCCTCTGATTAACATTGTAGGTGTTTTCAATCTTGTAATTAGTCTGCCTAATTAAAGGCTGACAGGTAGTCACTGTGCTGTTTGGTGACATGGTGTGTAACACACTGAACATGGACCACAGGACAGTCCCAGGACACTACAGCATGTTAAAGGTCAGAAGATCCTGTTCAAGCAGTGAGATGATCAGGGACTACAGCTGCTCAGATTATTCAGGATTAACAAACTGAAGAGAATAAATGACCACCATGACTCGTCTTTTCGACAGATGAGACAAAACTGCAGTTTTTAGGCAACAACTTCCATCAGCTCTATGTTCACAGATGCAGAAATGAAAGAACACATTTGGGCTGCACAATATATCACAAATGTATCACTATCCTGACAACAGCCAGTGTAATATGCATGTCACAAAAAATGCATAAATAGCAATAAATGATTGGCTCTAATGTTTRCACTGATGTCAGCGTCAGCCTGATAAACAACATGGAGCAGAGAAACATCAAATCATAATCACTCCATCAAGTTGGAATGGAAATTATCTATTAGTAGTTTTTTGCTTTGAATCCAGAGCAGAAAAAAACATTTATTTTTATTTATCACAAGTCATATCACCATCACATTATTAAACAGTTATCACACATCACAGGYTTTATTGACATCATACAGCCCTAAAACACATTACTGTGAAACATGGAACAGACTCGGTTCTGTTCTGGGGCTGATTAGCTGCATCTGCACAGGGTGTCCTGGATCTGTGCAGTGTACCATGGAATCTCAAGACTATCAAGGCTTTCTGCAGAGAAATGTGCTGCAAAAGCTTGGTTTCATGGTCATGGGTTTTCTTAGAGGATAATGACCCAAAACACCCAGGAATCCATCAGAACCCATCACTGGACTTTTCTAAAGTTCTCAGAAGATCTCCGACAAATACAGAACCGTCTGATCACCTCAAGTTTTTTTTTTTACTCCCCTGTTCCCCGTTGGCCGTCTGGGGATGGGGACCTGGGGGGTGGGGGCTGACTTTCTGGTGGGGCCTGGACTGCGGGCAGACGTGGTGCTTGGGGGGGCTCTGGAGACGGGGCTGGTGCTCCGGCTTCCCTGGGGC